GCCACCCCTCCCCCGCGCGCCCTGTCCCCCCTTGCTAGCAGCCAAGGGGCCGCCCCCAGGTCCTGGTGGATCACTTGCACAAGCCCACTTCCGGCACTTTCTGTCCCCAGTCAACAGTGTGCGAGAAGATTATGGAGCTGCTGGGACAAAACGAAGTGGATCGCCGGCAGCGCAAGTTGGTCATCCTGAGCCAGGACTGCTTCTATAAGGTTCTGACGACAGAGCAGAAGGCGAAGGCCTTGAAGGGACAGTACAATTTTGACCACCCAGGTACATGCAGACAGACTGTTTAGAGAGGTGGGGGCAGAGGGTGGACTTCTGCGACATAGGCTCTACAGGGATCGTAGGCTGCCAGGCAGATACAGAGGTGCGTGTTGATGCAGACTGCTGGACCAGGGCTGTAGGAGATGCCTGTGAGATGCAGGCCGCCAGGTCAGAGGCACACAGCTGTTTGCTGGATGCAGACTGCCATGGGAGGCTGTACAGGAGTGTGTATGTACGATGCAGAGTGACCAAGGCATACAGAGAGAAACCTGGGTACCAACTGCCAAGGTGGGGATTGTATTGGAGTGCGGAAGCAGTGAGACTTCATGAAACTTTACTCTCATTTCACTTGGTAAGGAGGCACATACTAGGTTAGGGGGATTTGGGCCTGGAGCCATTCAAGACTTTGGTGTGTTGAATTTGCTTCCCTGCACCTTGTTGCTGAGGGACCCTTTGCAAACCCTACTGCCCCCAGACTGTCTGGGGGCAGTCTTCAGAGAGGCCTGTAGTAGAAGCAGAGGCTAATGTGGTGCCCAGGCCTTGGGGCTGTTGCTGGTCTGGAAGGTTTCCTAGAAAGTTTCAGTTTTTCTAGGGACACAAGAAGGTCAGAGAACAGCACTGTTAACTGGTTCTTCCCAGATACAAAGAGAAGTAGAGGCCCAAATCATCTCTCCCCCAGTGCTGGCCAATCAGAAAGTCTTTATCCCAGTTTTGGTGGGACAGTTTTATCCTCCATTCTGTGATGTGTTGTGGAGTGTTCGGCAGCCCTGGATCCCAGCCATGCTGCCCCTGGGAGAGGCAGTCTCCCTGTCTGCCTGGGCAGCTGGGTAGTCTGGCCTTTTGATGTTCTTGTAGATGCTTTTGATAATGATCTGATGCACAAGACTCTGAAAAACATTGTTGAAGGCAAAACTGTCGAGGTCCCCACCTATGATTTCGTGACGCACTCAAGGTAAGTAGGTAGTTCCTGGGAGGGCAGTGAGAGAGGGCTGTCTACACACACCATCCTCTGTTGGATTCCATCCCAGTCAGCGCCCTTATTACTAAAGTGGGCCATCAAGCAAGGCCTCGCCTGGCCTTTCCCTGGCAGGTTGCCAGAGACCACGGTAGTCTACCCAGCTGATGTGGTTCTGTTCGAGGGCATCTTGGTATTCTACACTCAGGAGATCCGGGACATGTTCCACCTGCGCCTCTTTGTGGACACAGACTCTGATGTTAGGCTGTCTCGAAGAGGTAAGGGCCTGTAGGTCCCTGGGTGGGGCTGGGATCCCCCAGGGGTCCCAAGGAGGGCTTATGGTGGTGCCTTGCTCCTGTTGCTGCAGTTCTACGGGACGTGCACCGAGGGAGGGACCTGGAGCAGATTCTGACTCAGTACACCACCTTTGTGAAGCCAGCATTTGAGGAGTTCTGCCTGCCGGTACTGCCTTTATCCATTCAAAAATGAAAATGGCTCCCAGCTCTGCCCACCTCTCCGTCTGCACTCTTTGCCTATTTGCCTCAGGCTAGACCCTGATGCACCTGCATTGGCTGTTCCTGTCTAAGCCTGGTCTGTGTGTCTTTCTCACTCCTCTTGAAGCTGCTCTTTAGGACTTTGGACTGTTCTCTGTTGAGTGTTTTGACTGATCTCCAGGGCCCATGTCCTCCAGATGCTCTGGAGAAGATGCTGAGAACTCTGCTGACTCATATTAGGAGTTTGCTGCTTTTCCATCTTATAGTTCTGGAGTTAGAGGTGAACTTGTAGCTTTACCCAATTCAGGGAGGGAGGGAGGTGGTGGGGAGCTGAGGGTTGTAGCCCTGGTTGACCCTGAACTCATGGAAGGCTTCTACATTTAGTTTTCTGAGTGCTGGGATTTTAAGTGTGAGTTACACTCATTGTCATATTGGAGTGTTTTAAAGAGAAGCTTAATAGTATTTTGCCTCTTTTAAAAAAGTGTATTTGGTCGGGCGGTGGAGCACGCTTTTAATCCCAGCACTCGGGAGGCAGAGGCAGGTGGATCTCTGTGAGTTCGAGACCAGCCTGGTCTACAAGAGCTAGTTCCAGGACAGCCTCCAAAGCCACAGAGAAACCCTGTCTCGAAAAAAACCAAAAAAAAAAAAAAAAAAAAGTGCATTTGTATGTGTTGTGTATGTACATGTGTGTGTTCATGGAAGCCAGAAGAGACTATAGGATCCCCTGGAGCAGTAGTTACAGGTGGTTGTGAGCTGCCTGATGTGGGTGCTAGGAACTAAACTGAGTCCTCTTGTAAGAGCAGCAAGTGCTCTTAACTGCCTGCCAAGCTATCTTTTCAGGCCCCAGGATTTTATCTCTTAAAGTAAAAAGAAAAGCCCGGCATGGTTGTCCGTGTTTTTAATCCCAGAACCTCAAGGGCAGAAGATCTCTGTGTTATGGCCATCTTCTTGTACATAGTACATTCCAGGCCAGACAGAGATAAATGGAGAGACCCACCACATGCCCCCCAAAAGTAAAGAAACCAGAAATGCAAAGACTGCCCCTGGCCCAAAAGTAAAGGAACCAGAACTATCAAAAACAGGATAGATAAATTCCATTTGCTGCTACTGAAAGAGCACCTTCTGGGTGCTGGGATTACAGTGTACCACCACACCTGGCTAAAAGAGGTTTTATTTAATGCTCATTTGCTCTCTAGTTTCTGGAAAGTATTAATGTGTGAAGTGCAGACTGTTGCAGTCTCATTGGCTTTTGCTGAGTAGGTGGTGAGTAGGCAGCAAACCCAGAGTCCTGCATCCGAGCAGCCTGCCACCTCCATCCCTGATCCTTGTGCTGCCCACCCCCAGAGTCCCTCCCCACCATGCAAGCCATTTCCCAGGCTGGTGGGAAGGGGAGTGGGCTTCAGCTCCTCTTCACCCCTCTTGATGGGTCTGCCAGGTCCACTCACCTTTCACAGGAAGGGTCTCTACTGCCTTCAGCAACCTGTCTGCTGTAGGGGACAGGCCTCCTTCACCCAAACACACAGATTGGCAGTATTGACCCCTCCTGGGTCCACTGCCAGAGTATGCCTTCTCCGGGCTTCTGGTTCAACCATGTCCCCTCTGCTATCCTCGGTGGTCCTGCTGGAGTGTCACGGGCATTAGAACATTAAGCAGTGAGAATGCAGGTGATTGGTGCCATGTATGTCTCCATACGGTACAGGGCCGGTTAACAGGCCTGTACACGGCACAGCTCTTGTCTTGCCGTACTCATTCCTATAGAACATTTGCAGACTTCAGTCCCATTTTCAGAGGCCAAGAACTATGGGAGGTGTCACACCTGCCTAAGCCAGCAATTAAGCTGTGACCAGGCAAAAACAGTGGGGCACTGACGTGCAAGCTCACTCTTAATTTTCTGCCTCACTGTTCAGACCCCATCTCTCACCTGTGTAAGGCTGTCCCCAACTCGCCAGTGCTACCAACACCCAGGCTTTCATCCCTTGCTAAAGTCACCCTGGAGGGGACAGCCTCAGGAGACTCCTCTGTATCTTTCAGACCAAGAAGTATGCTGATGTGATCATCCCCCGAGGAGTTGACAATATGGGTAAGCAACTCTCAGCCCTACTCCCAAGCCGTAACCTAGAGGCTACCTATTGTTTCTTAAGTATGTGCACATTTGTCTGGGACATGGGTTCATGTGTACTTTCCAGACACTTAGAGGTGCTGGGCAGGGCCTGTCAGGCTGTTGAGATATGTTTTTATCAGGCTCAGTCAACATTAACAACAGAAAGCCAGGGAGTTCTGCTGTGCCTGTCCATTTGTGTGCCTTCCGCCTGGTGAGACATCAGGCAGGCAGGCAGGCAGGCAGGTCCTGGGACTGCTGGGAGGCAGAAAGGCACAGTGGCTTTCCTGTACGCCAGAGTGTTTTACAGAGTAGGGGAGTGAGGGCAGGCTGCAAGGCTTCCAGGAGCAAATGTGATGAGCATTTCCCATGTCTCACTGCAGTTGCCATCAACCTGATCGTTCAGCACATCCAGGACATTCTCAATGGTGACCTGTGCAAGCGGCATAGAGGAGGGCCCAATGGGCGCAACTACAAGAGGACCTTCCCTGAGCCAGGAGATCACCCTGGGGTGTTGGCCACTGGCAAGCGCTCACACTTGGAGTCTAGCAGCAGGCCCCACTGAGACCAGCATACGTAGATTCCCCACAGACCCATGATTAAGGGTCTGGGCCTGGGGGCAACCACTTGCCCTTAAAAGCAGTCAGGGATTCTTCTCAATGTGATCTAGGGTGGCAGCATTTAGGACCAAAGCCTTCCTTGCTTGGAAGGGCAGATTCATGCTGACAGAGCATTCCGGTGTCTTCTGCTTCCTTTCATTGGAGGAGGTTAGCAGGTCTCTGGGTCACTGAGAAGTGTCCCAAACTGCATAGAAAGCCCATGGTGCTGGCTTCCAGAGGGATGCAGGACATACATTATGAGGCAACTGAGGAACAGCCCTGGCACTGGCTGTCTTGGTGTTGATAGTGAGCCACAGTGAAGTGTTCCCAGTCTGATGTGGTTCGTGTATGTTGCAGAAGTAAAGTTTGAAGACATGTTATATATCCTATTGGTTTTGTGGCAGGCTATTTGTGACCTATGAACCTAGTTTTAACAACCTACCACGGGGCTATAGTCCAGTCTATGGAGCCTGAGGCATGAAGGAACCCTAATGTCTATCTATGTGACCCTAAGCAGCAAGGGACTCCTGGGGCCTGGATTGTGGGATAGATGGGAGCAGGCCATCAAGTTTCTTGTGGCTAAAATAGTGTCTTTATAATTCTGGAGGAAGCCTTGAGCCCCGGGGGCTGTCTGTGTATAAGCCACTTGGCTACAGTTCATGGCTAGTGTGCCAGGACAAGCTATTTCCAGCCAGAAGAGCACTGGAGTGTAGAGCAGAGAGTCACTTGAACATGGCTGCTTAAAGCCAGCTGGTCTCCTGAACCCTGAACCTGAGCTCATGGCTTCACAAATGGTCCGTTCTATGATGTCAAGGTTGTACTCCCTCCTACGGGATGGCCCTTTTGGGAAAAGTGTCCTTTGCTGTTGTCATAGGCTATGATGCAGGCAGTTCTCATTTGTTCTCGTTAAATACAACGAGATGCTCATGACAGCAGCTGAGCTGCACTGAGCTCAGGGGCTGGTTTCTGTTAGTGCTGTGCTGGTTTTGTTGAACTGAAACCCCTCTTTGGAGGAAGAATCAATAAATAATACTAAAAAATGACTATCAATTTGTTCCTTTTTATTTACATTAGGAAAGGCAAATTCAAGGCAAGGAAGTGTATGGATGACATCTTGGCTGTGAAGACAGGTGAAGACGCTTGGTGAAATCTCCCAGAAGGGGTTTTAAAATACAGATCAGTGAGAAGTCCTGGTGTTAATACACTGTCAGATTTCCAAGTAGGCTTTACAAAGGTCAGCTGTGCCTGCAGACAGCGAGTTGTTTGGGGTGACTGAAGGCCTTGTAAAAGGCAGGGCTAAGACCTCATTGGTGGCCCACAGCTGGCGGGAAGGCTCAGGCTCATCACGAGTCCTGTCCACTCCATTGCTGGCTGGGTGCTCCTGCCTGCCTTTGTGGTTCCTGTCAGCTCAAACACTGGCTGGGTCAGAGTCAGGCTTCCTGGGTGAGGCTATGGCAGGGTATATTCTTCACTGTGTGAGGAGGAATAAATCTCTTCAAATGAGAAATCCATGGACAGGGATCCTCAGGTGAAACCACAATTAATCCCTGGAGTCCTTACTGGACCCAGCCAGTCCCTGCCTGCTGCGGCCTCTGCTGGTGGGAGACAAACACAGTTTTTAGATCCTGTTTGCATGCTTGTCTTGTTCTCTAGTACTTCCTGATCAGAATGTCCCAGGTGTCTTTCCAGCGAAGGGCCCGAAGTTCTCCTGGTGAGAGTGACGTGTCCCCATAAGTTAGTGGACGCAGCATGTTGGACACATGGCATGCAGAGGAATACCAGGCTACAACCAGGGCACTGAAGACATTCCTCTGCAGCTGGGACCTGTGGGTAGCAGGGAGAGTGAGGTTAGAGAGTCTGGCTTGCCTCCCCACAGCATCCCTGCCCAGCCATCGCCCAGGAACCTGCTGACCCCTGTGGACTTTATCTGTATGTTCCTTAGACCTCCCCTGCTTCTCTGTGTCCCATGCCAACCCTTATCTGCCTGGACACATTGTACATGACCCTCATCACTGCTTCTCGATTTGCCATGGCTCTACCCACAATGCCAGAGGTGTGCCCCATGCTCTCCACATCAAGCCGTCTGCTCCAACCCAAAGCTTTTTTTTTTTTCTTTTTCTTTTTTTTGAGATAGGGTTTCTCTGTGTAACAATCTTAGCTGTCCTAGAACTCACTCTGTAGACCAGGCTGGCCTTGAACTCATAGAGATCTGCCTCTCTCTGCCTCCTGAGTGCTGGGATTAAAGGTGTGCGCCACCATGCCTCACCAACCCAAAGCTTTCTATCTGCCGTATCCCTCCCAGTCAGGGATGTGAGCCACTGTTGGCCAGTGGTTAAGCCTCTCCCCGTTTTTTTGCAGTCCTAAGGCCCACTGTGCCCGTACCTGCACAGGTGGTCGCTGACATGCTGCAGGACAATTGGCAGCAGCAGGATCTGGAAGGTGAGTGCCGGCAGGTAGTGGTAAAGGAAGAGAATCCTCTCCATCAGGAAGAAGGGCAGGTAGTTGAGCGCCCAGCCGCCAGTACATAGGGCTCCAGCCAGCACCCAGTGGGACCAGGTGTCTGTAGGAGGGTGTATCTCAGAGCAGCACTATCACTGGGCTGGCCATAGGCTCATTCCTAAGTTACATACTGTCCTCAGCACCTCACTTCCCCACTCCCCAGGACTAATTGGACTGATCAGACACTGCCGCTCCTTCCTGGCTCTTGACAACTTTTCTTCTCCTAGGCTCCAGGCTCAGGGTGAGACCAGGCCCAGCCCTTCGAGGTTTCCTGCCAGCCTTAGCTCATGGCCAGTGTAAGGACAGGCTGCTCTCATCTGAGAATTCTGCTCTCAGCTCCTCAGGGAGCTACAAAGGAGCTACATCTGTGACCAGCCCAGAACTGTAGCAAAAGTCAGTAGAGAGAAGGGACCTGGTGGACCAGTGCTGGAGTTTGCTTTCCAAATGCATTTCTGTCAGCTGCTCACAAGCACTGCCCCTGACCCTCTTGCTGACTGCTGGTGCATGCAGGCAACCTGGAACTAAGCCTCTGTCCCCTGCACTCTCTGCTAAAGAAGTCTCAATTGTGGTGTGGATCTTAACTGCCACAGGCGTTTTTTTTAGGGCCCCTACCTGCCTAGGGCCTTGGGTTCTAGTAAAGCTGGCTGTCACCTATGCATAAAGTGTTCCCATCCTATGAGGAGACACTAACCCTCAGGGAGGTCACAGATGCTCCTTCGTCGGCGGAGCAGGTACCAGAAGAAGAGTAGGGTGTAGGCCACTGTGGCAAGGCTAGCTGAAGCCCAG